CAAGACAGAGTCTGGAGAACTATTTGCCTAGGTTGGCCTTCAACCACAATCCTCCTGATCTCTGCCTCCTGAGTAGGTAAGATTACAGATGTGAGCTACCAGTGCCCGGCAGACTTCTGGTTTTTATGCCAGTTCAGGAGAACAATGTCTAAGAACAGCTTTTAGTCTGACCTCAACCCACATAAAGTGTCTGTCTTCCTCCTTTTCTTCCAGTTCTCTGACTTTGCTGGGGCCTAGGTTCCCTGCTGACAGGTAAACTGAATATCTTATATGTTATCTTTAGCTCCTCTCCTCCCTCCATGCCTTCAGGTTCTATCTTCTTTCTATAATCTGTCCTCCTTTCTATTCTTAATAGAAAAGTGTAAAGTGGGAGAGTAGAGCCCCCAGGGTTGGGGGGAGGGGTCCCAAGAGATGGCGTCCCCTCCTTTCCATTCTTGATGCAATCGCCCTAGGTCTGGACACACTGGGTCTTGCCAGAATGAATCTAAATTACCTTTTAATTTCCCTTCCTCCAGGTTCCACATAGCTCCAAAGTGTTCCTAAACAATAAGGTGATCACTTCACATTCCTTTCCATTCCTTTTCTTGGCTATCAACTGCCTATTTAGTAGTCTAAAATTTTTAGCAGGCATTTGGGGGTTCCCCATGGTCTCATCTTAACCTAAACTTCTCACACCTCTCCTGCCCTGGAACCTGGGCTCACTATTCCTTAAACCTGTGCACATGTTCTAGGATAAGACTCCCTTTCTCCCTTCCATTTCTGCCAGTGATAAAAATTTTAGCTGGGCGCCAGTGGCTCATGCCTGTAATCCTAGCTACTTGGGAGACTGAGATCAGGAGGATCTCGGTTCGAGGCCAGCCTGGGCAAATAGTTCTCGAGGCCCTATCTCAAAAAATACCCAACTAAAAAAGGGCTGGTGGAGTAAATCAAGTGGTAGAGTGCCTGCCTAGCAAGCATGAGGCCCTGAGTTCAAACTCCAAAGAGAAAAAGAAAATTTTTAAATCTCTGTCAGGGCCTAACTCCTTCATAAAAGCAACCTAGTTGTTGAGTTGAAAGTGTCTCCTTCTCATGCCATGTTAAAAATGTCTTGCTCATAATTGAGATACAATTTATATACAGTCAAATTGTCACCAGAGGATGGCTAAGGGGCTCCCACAGCTTTCCAGTTTCTACAAAAAGTCTCAGGTCCTTGAGATCCACAAACATGAAAAGCATTTCTAGGTGTCTCACAACAAGAGTCTCACAAGGTGGAAGTTTTAGCAAGGATTTATTTCAGTATAAACAAGGGAGAGGAGGGGAGAGAAAAAATAGAAACATTTCCTGTTCCCCATGCAGGAGTGAAGACTCCAAGTGGTGGTTTGGTGTCTGTGGTCTTACACTCTCCTGGGATGGGAGAATCCTTGTCACCAGAAGTCTAGTAACCCTAACCATTAGATGATGGTTTTGAGTGCCTGAGATGGGTGCTGTTTATTATTGTAAAATATGGAGGTTTACCTAAACCCACCAAAAACACAGGAACAATAAGTGAGCTTTAGGACTTCCTTTTGCCAGACAAGTCTTTTCCTCTATGGATTCAAGGATCCTTGTAGCTTAATATTTCAGAGGAAAGCAGAAATAGGTAGTTCCTCTATGTCTCTCAGTTCCTGTAACTTACCATCTAAAAGGAGAAGGGAGGGGGCAGCTGCTCTGGCTCTCCAGCCTTTACTTCCTTGCTCCAGTGTTTGAATCTGGCCCTTTAAACATTTATTAAAATAATATAATTTCCCTGTGTCCTCATCTATCTCTCCTGCCTGAGAATTACCCTTTTGATTTTAAAATTGTTTATTTTTCAAATGTCTTGAGACAGGGTCTCGCTATGTAGTCAGGCTGGCCTGGAGCTCACTATGTAACCCAGGCTGGCTTTGAACTCAAAATCTTTCTGTCTTAGCCTCCTGAGTGCTAGGATTACAGAAGTGAACCACCATGCCTGCCTCTAAATTACACTTATATTTGTGAGGTGTAATTACACTTATATTGTGAAGTTTTTAGTACTGCTGGGAATTGAACCTCAATATTATGAGTTTTGACAAGCGTATACAGTTGAGTAGCCATCATCAAAATGAAGATATAGGCTATTTCCATCAAATCAAAAGTTCCTTTAAACCTCACTGATCTGATTTCAGCCCTTATGTTAACAGTGCTGGTTCAGTCTGTGATCAGACTACCAAATTCTTGTCCTTCGGAGAAGAATCCATGGTGGGTGTAAATGGAATTTATTAAAAGTTAGGGACCGGAAATACAAAGGGAAGCATGGCGAAGCCCAGGTGGAAGCCAGAAGCATAGAGAAAGCATGTTTCTGCTTTTCAGGTGCTTTTAAAACCTACGATAACCTATGGGAAGGGAGAACAAGGAGATTCCACCCAATAATTAGCGATTGGGAAGGGGCCAGGGCAGTTCCCAGCCAGGCAAGAGCAGTTCCTTAGACAAAGCTTGATTAATCTAAGATGTAATATTTTTCTATGAGTCCCTAATTTAGCCTGCCTCACTTATACTGCTCATATCACTTAAATCTATTTTTGCATTTTTCCTTGTAGGCCTTGTCTGTGTTCTCAGCTCTTTGCTACTGGATGGCAAGCTCCTAAGTGTCAGGTCATAATACTTGAAAGGAGGAGGAAAAGGAAAAGGAAAGAGGGGAAAAAGAAAAAAAGAGCAAATAAATGGCTAAACAGTCTTAGGAGAGGTGGGTTTTTTAATGAGTTATTCTGCATTGTTAATCTGAACTATAAAAAGTAGTCATTCTTAAACACCTAAACATGAAACATATTAGACAGAAAAACTTGTGAAAAGTATGGTTTTAGGGCTAGCAGAGTAGCTGAAGTGGTAGAGCACCTGCCTAATGTGAGGCCCTGAGTTCTTTTAAACCCCAGTACTACCACCAAAAAAAAAAAAAAAAAAAAAGTATGACTTTAAGATACTTTTAAGTTTGGGAAGAAAGTCTTAAAGAAAATGACTCAAATTGCAGTGAGGGATAGGAAACATCCCCTGGTCACTCCCAGGCTAAGCTGCAGCTGATATTCTTGTACATTGCAACATCATCACTAAGATATGGAGCTTTCTGAACCTGGTACACAGTGGGTACACTTCCAATTTTCAGCAAAGTTGAGCAACTACGGAAAGTAGTTAACTTTACCAAGTGCCTCAAAGTCACTGTACTGTATACTTTGTTTTATTTAATTCTCACAATTTATTCCCTCACTTAGGTTAAAGGTTATTTAGGAGATAATTTGTTGGGAAAGGAAAAAGTTAAAGGAAGTTGGGCATATACTTTCAAGGGCGAGTTCGTGGGCACTTTTCTGAGTTTTTATTCTGTGAAATCACTTAAGTAGGAAGTGTCCTGGGCTTTGGAATTCAGAATAAACAGTTTTAGTGTTCATTTATTTCTCCACTCAGGGTCCTTCTTCTAGGGTGACGACCGTGTTTGTTTCAGAAGTCAACTCTTATGTCCTGTTTGATGAGGTTGTCAATTAAGGTGCATGGAGGAATTTGGGGGTTAGTGAGTATAGGGGTAGAAATTAAAACAGCTTTTTTTTTTTATATATATTTTGGTGTCATAGGTATTTTAAGTGATTTTGCAATCAGCCTCAGGAGATTATTTTCTTGGTTCTTAGAACAAGTTGGAAGATAAACTTTGCACAATATATGATACTATGCCCTTTGTAACTAAACAACCCAAGATAATGTGTTAAAGCTTAGTAGAGATTCAAATTACTGAGCTGATCATAAGGTTTAAAAATGTGTTAATTTTACTCTTAGAATGTGTCAGCATTGCATTAGTGATGAATTGCATGTTTTTAAAAATCACTTATTACTTTCCAGTCTTGCAGAACGACTCAGAATTAAGTAATAACTAATAAAAAGACAGCACAATTCAAATTGAAGGCTAGGACCAGGGCAGGAAGTCTGGTTTAGGCTATGGACTGTGTCCCATCCACAAAATGTGGAGCCCACTAAGGAAGGTTGTGGTGTCACGTTGGAGGTGCTGTTTCAGGAAGATAAATCTGGCTGTGTGTCAATGGGCTGGGGCAGAGAAGCGAGAGGAAGCAGTGTCAGTTTGTAGGCTACTGCGGTAACCAGGTGCTGAAATAGGAATGGTAAGAAATCAAGAGAGAAAACAGTAATGCGTGCGGCCTGCACTGGACAATGATCCAACCCAGAGAGGGTGGGTGAGTGAGGGACAATAGAAAGATCGGCTCAGTGCTGTCCAGGGAACCCAGCGTTTTTGGCAGAGGTCCCTTGACTTTCCTTGCGTCCTAACTCTCAGTGCGAACGTCCACGCAGCAGCGGGAAGATGCAGGCCTCAAACTGGTCTAGCCAGCAGAAGCTACACGGGAGGCAGGACCCGCCCGGCGAGTCCCGGTGCCCCCTTCCTCCCCGCACCAGCATTCCAGTTCCGACCCTTTCCTCCTCTCCCCTCCAGTTCCCCGATTCCCCATCCCCCACTCCCATCCTCTGTAGCTGCGGCACCGCCCTCCGCCCCTCCCTAAACCCCTTTCTACCCCCTCCCTCGTGGGGCGCTGACTTGCCCGGCTGCCACGTCTCACTGATGACATCACCAGGGTCGCTCGGCCTTGGCCAATCCGCTAGGGGGAGTCCGAGCGAAGTCCTAGCCAGCGAGTCAACCAGGAGGGGAGCAGGGAGGGGCGGAGTGTGGGGGGTGAGGGGGTGGAGAATGGGGCGGGCAACAAGCCGTCAAGTGCGCATGCGCCAGTGGCGCGGGGCTTGGCGGGAAACTGAGTGCTGGCCGCCGGCCGTACCGTGGGTGCTAAGAGCGCACCGCGGCGCTCGCGCCTCTCTTTCCCGGCGTGCCACACGGTGCGGCCGCCCTTTGGGCTGTGTAAAGGCCCCTTGGTCGAAGGCTTCCCTATTTCCTGGTTCGCTGGCGGCCATTTTGGGTGGAAGCGATCGCTGACTGGCGGCGGCTGCTGATTGTGTTCTAAAAGGGTCGGAGTAGGGGAAGACGTTTGCTTTACCGGAACAGCCTATCTCATTCCTTTCCTTCGATTACCCGTGGCGCGGAGAGTCAGGGCGGCGGCTGCGGCAGCAAGGGCGGCGGTGGCGGCGGCGGCAGCTGCAGTGACATGTCCAGCATGAATCCCGAATAGTGAGTGCAGGAGAGGCCGGGTCGTCGGCTGGGTCTGTGGGCCAGCTGGGGGCGAGGGAGACGGGCGGCCGTGGGAGCCTGGGTGAGGCTGGCGGCCGGGCGTCGGGCCCCATTGTCTGGCGGTGGAGGGGCGTCCTGGGGGAGGGGCCGGGTCGGCCGGGCCGGGCTGAGGGTGAGGCGCCCAGGCCCGGCGGGGTCAGGCGGAGGCCGAATGCTGAGCGGCGCGGAGGAGCAGTGGAAGGGGCTGGGTCCGGGGTTGTGGAGGGCGGCGGGGTCGGCTGGCCCGAGGCAGTGAGTGACTTGAGGAGGCGGCCGGGGGAGCCCTCCCGGAGGGCACTGCCAGACCTACGCCGGCGCTGCGGAGCTGTCAGGGTCGTGGGGTGGATCCCAGCCTCACTGGTGAATCCCAGCCCGCGGCCTCCCTCTCCCACCTCCCTGCCGGGTTTCGGGTAATACGGATGCATCTTGGACTGCGTGGGATTGAGGGCGATAAGTAGATGGGGAGCAGTGATTGCAGTTTTCTAATTTTTCTGTGTAGTCTCCTGGAGAGTTGTTTAAGAACTCGCCGGTCTACTGATTGCCCTTCTAAAAACCTGACCATTTGTGAGGTTTTTTTTTGTTTTTTTTTTTAAATAAGGACATCTAAGTAATTTTGTCTTCTATAGGCCAATAACAACAGCAACCAAAAAAAAACAGGATTAAAACCAAGGAATATCTTTGTGATACTACCAAATTAAAGAGTTTGCTGTCAGGTCGAAAGAGAAAAGTAATGGGACCTATGATAGGTCTGCAGGTTTTGGATTACCTACTTGAATGTTTGCAGATAGGGAATGAGGTTCCATGACGTGTCATGAAAAGTTAATGCATTCCTTTTTCTTGCTTACTCAAGAAGTCATCTCAGCAGATGTGACACACCTGGCACCTTTCATGAGAATGGTGTTCTCGGGAAGACTTTCTGAAGGCACTTTAAAAAATCCTCCTGCAGGTTCCATATATCTATATATAAATTAATGAATAACTAGAGGAGTTTTAATTGATAGTCCTCTTTGGTGTCAAGGGAAGAAGAGGAATTTTTTTAAAAGCAGAGATCAGTATTTGTCCTAAAAGTTAAGTTTATTTGCTGCTAAACATTTCCCTTAATAGGTTCATCCATTAGTTTAGCTGATTGTCATGTGCATGTCACATGGCTTTTGCAAAAATGCATTCTGTCTGATTATAAGTTTTGTAATAACTGTGGTTTGATGCTGAAATGTCTCCTCTTGCACTAAACAGAAACCGTGGTCTTCTGTTAGAATTTTGTATACTTTAAGAAGTTGAGGCTAGTGTTCGTACACATATTTGCTGTGTTGGCAGTTTTTTGTTTCTTTTATCAAGGACTTCAAGGACAAAGTTGGTTTTGCATAGTTAACAGAGTTGAACTTGAGTTTCCTAATTAGTAGTTTTCCTGACAGCAGAAAGCACTGCTGCTGTTTAGGGAATTTCCTATATTTGCTACATATATTTTAATACTATAAAAAGATCTTGAAGATTAGTTAGTTGAACAGAAATTCAATAAGTTGCTTAACCTCAGATTTTGTTTCTCATTTTGTAAAATAGTATTGTAGGAGTCATTCCTACTAAGGGAGTGGTGGAGGTTCAACTATGTAAACAAATTGGGAAAACTATTAATAACACTCTTTAGGCATATAAGTTATTTTCAAGTAACGCATTCTAGTAGTGCTAGGACTTAGGAAAGTAAGCTTTAACCTCAAAGAACTATTTTGTCTCTGTAGCCTACTCTGGCTTCAAACTTGCAATCCTCCTGCCTCAGTTTGCTGAGTGGAAGAGATTACAGATGTTTATCACTATGCCCAACTCAAGAAGCTGTAATGAAATACAGAAAACAGATTTTGTACATGTCAAATACCAGATATTGCATGCCCCAGATGTTTGGTGTGGGACTGGAGGTGTGGCTTAAGCAGTAGAGAGACAGGTTTGCCCTGAGTTCAAACCTCAGTCCCACCCTCAAAAAACCAGATGTTCATTGTGGATCAGAGCAATAACATTTCAAAGGAGTGTGGTTTGCTGTTGGTCTTTTTGTTTGTTTTTTTTTTTTTGGTGTACTGAGATTTGAACTCAGGGCTTCATGCTTGCTAGGCAGGCTGCTCTAGCACTTGAGCCGCACCTTCAGTTCATTTTGCTCTGGTTATTTTGGAGCTGGGGTTTTAGCAGCTATTTACCCAGAATGCCCTAAACTGAGATCCTCCCAATCTCAGCCTCCCAAGAAGCTAGGATTACAGGTGTGAGCTCACTGGCTGACCACCAGGTTTTTAGCAGTTTGACCTCATCAGTTTCTTCTTGTCTTTAATGAAGTTTGTTACCATTGTAAAAGTAATTAGAAATCTGGAAAGTGGGGGGGGGGAGTTGTTTTTCAGAATTTTATCACCCAGATAAAAGTCCATTTCCTTTAACATCTTGTTCTAAACATTTAAAATTTAATTTGTGTGTGTGTGTGTGTGTGTGTGTGTGTGTGTGGTTCTGGGGTTTGAACTCAGGGCCTGAACCTTTAGCCACTTCACCAGCCCTCTTTTTGTGATGGAGTTCTTCAAGATAGGGTTTCACGAACTGTTTGCCCCTGCTGGCTTCACACCTCGATCCTCCTGATCTCTGCTTCCTGAGGATTCCAGGCGTGAGCCACCGGTGCCCGGCTCTAAACATTTAAATCTTAAGCTTTCTCTTAAATTAAAATTTTTAATAGGGTGCTTTTTCTGATTCCTGCTTTTTATTTATTTACTTTTTTGTGGTATTGGAATTTGAACTCAGCCTCATGCTTGTTAGGCAGGTGCTCTACCATTTGAACCACTCCGTCTGCCCGAGTGTTGTTTTAATAACTAATGAATGGTTTATTAGTTAATGCTTACTTGTTTACTTGCTTTACTTGCTTTGGCTTGTCATCTTTTACTTTTACAAGTAAAAGTAAGATGTCCTTGCTTTGTTTGTCATCTATTAAAAATTTGTATTATTCCTTGTAGAAACCTAAAAGTCTCCCTTGTAGTGCTGCTAAATTTGGTAATGAAAATGGGATCTTGACAAAAGAAAAGATCTTAGAAGGTTTATATTGATTGGCATAAGATAACCTGTTGGTAGCTTTACTACTAAATGCTTTTACTTTATAATCTTTAAGTTGTTAGTTTTTGGTTTAATGGTGATAAATAATGATTGAATTTTAATTTGTTTTTCTGGTTACTTTCTATGTTATTAGACTGATTTGGGAGGAATGACTACCCAGGGCTATTTTTAAGGTAGAAATTAAGGTTAATAACAGACTCATTTGGATTTCAACTATAAACAAAACAATTGGAATTGTAATCTTAACTGTGGAAAACTAGATGGAAAGGGTCAAAGCTTTCTTTTTTCTGGAGATCTGAAGATTAGATTCTCTGAGCTAGGTGGTAAAGCAGGCAGTGATTACTCTAGCACATTGGTTAATAAGTACTTAACATTATTCTCGTATCAGAATCATTTTCTATAATTCATTGGCTTCTATTGGACTTTTTTTTTTTTTTTTAATGGTGGTACTGGCGCTTGAACTCAGGGCCTCATTTGCCAGGCAGGCACTGTATCTCTTGAGTCCTCTGCCAGCCCTTTTTTGTGTTGGGTATTTTTCAAGGTGAACTGGCTTCGAGCCTTGATACTCCTGATCTCTGCTTCCTGAGTAGCTAAGATTACATACGTTAGCCACCGCTGCTGGTTGGTGGATCTTTTTTTTTTTTGAGTAGCAAATCATCTTTGCTACTTTGGCCTATAAGGAATCTGTTAAAAACAAAGCATGTATACCTATCTTGGATGTACCAGTGAACTACAGTAGAAAGTAATACAGTAGTGTACTTGGATCTACTGTAGTTCTTCAGTACAGAAAGAGTATTTTTTTCCTTGTTTATTATTGGTACTGAGGTTTGAACTTGAGCCATGCCCCCAGCCCTAGTGCAATAAGGCTTTTAAGTAATTACATTGTTTTTTACTTTTTCTCTCCTCTGTTTTAAAAATATGGCTCCAGAGTCTTTCAAACTTTGCACTTCTGTTATGGTAGATTGAAGGAACATTTGACTTTTTTTCCTTGCCAGTACAGTGTTTGAATTTTTTTCTTTTTTTAAAAAATTATATTATTATTGTACTGGGATTACATTGTGACCTTTATGAAAGTTCTTACAATACATCATAGTTCATTTTCAGATTTTTTAATTTTTTTTTCAATTTTAACAAGTTCCTTTGTATACATATTTATTTGGTACTGAAAATTAAAATAACATCAGAATTCCTTTTATGGCAACCCGAATATTTGAAAATGTGAAAATATAGTTACCTACCCAAATTACTACATTCTAACCAGACTATCCCATATTCTCCTCGCACCCCTTCAGGTTATATTTCATTTCACAGACTTTAGACTTCTAAAACAAAGACTTGAGACCTATTGGTGCTTCTTGGTTCAAATAAAAATGTAGAACTAAAGTATTTTAAAGTCATTCATATATAAATTACACAATGCCCTTATAAATTAATCATAGAGGGAGGAAGAGCCCCAGCACCAAAAAAAGTGAAAATGAAAGATACAAGATAACAAGGTCATATCATATACATCAGTTATTCAAAATTAGTGGTATGTAGCTTTCAACATGCTGCATTAACTTACCAGCAGGAAAACAGCACTAGATTTATGCCTAAATTCAAACTCCCAAGTCCCACTGAAAGAGAGAGAGAGAGAAAAGAAGGAGAGAGAGAGAGAGAAGAGAGGAGAGAGAGAAGATTTAAGCCTAAATTGACTCTACTCTGTCATACTCACTCCCTAGTCTAGCATTCTCAGAAGGATCCCAACTATGGTACAGGCAGGTGCATCTGAACAGCATACTGAATGGTTCACTCTGAACTTCTTTAATCCCATCTCTTAGCTTTTCTCTTTGAACCCAGGAATATCTCTTGGCCAGGTGTTCTCTCCTTTCGGATAACAAGGTCTGGACCCC